TACTCCAAAATATGCTGGGGGAAGAGAGTCATATTACAACATCCTTGATGGTGGAAACAGTTTTGCAGACAGGTACTCTGAGCAGTGGCATACATCTTTAATGCCAGCATTTTGGGAGACAGAAGCAGGCCAATCTCTGTGAATTTGAGACTAGCCATGATCTATACAGAAAGTTCCAGGCCAGCCAGGGCTACATAGAAAGACATTGTCTCAGAAAATAAAAGAAATGGTGATTTTCTATTTTCCCTTCTCTCTCTTTTTCATTTTTAATTTTTGAGGTGGGGGTCTCATTCACTCAGCTTTGTTGGCCAGGAACTCACAGAGATCTTTCTGCCTCTGCTTTGGGAGTGCTGGGAATAAATTCAGGCACCATCACAGGAGAATAATGAATTATTTTCACAGGTGACCTCAAACTGCTTACAGTAATTATTATTGTTGTTCATTCTTTTTTCCCCATTGTCTTAGTACCCTCTGAATTTTTTTTGTGTTTTTTTGTTTTTTTGAGACAGGGTTTCTCTGTAGTTTTGGAGGCTGTCCTGGAACTCACTTTGTAGACCAGGCTGGCCTCGAACTCACAGAGATCCGCCTGCCTCTGCCTCCCGAGTGCTGGGATTAAAGGCGTACGCCACCAACGCCCAGCGTGTACCCTCTGAATTTTTAAGAAGGGTTTCTCTGTATGGCTTTGGAGTCTGCCCTGGAAAACTCTGTTACCAGGCTGGCCTCAGACTCACAGAGATCCACCTCCCAAGTGCTGGGATTAAAGGTGTGTGCCACCACCACCCAGCTCTCCACACAGACTTTGTGTGTGAGTGGAAGAGGGTCCAGCTTTTTAAAATGCCATCAGTGACATGATGGTGTACACGGTTCAGTCTACTGTGATTGGAGGAGGAGGGCGGTCCTAGTCCCACCTCAGACTTTTAGATGAACCACAGGAAAAGTATGAGTTTCAAGAGGCTTTTTCCCCCACTGTGCTGATGGGGGATGTCCTTCTGTATATCAGTTTCTCTTATTGGTTGATGAATAAAACACTGACTGGCCAGTAGCCATCTACACCGTGCAGCCATCGCTGTAAGGGTAGGCACATTAGTTACTGTTCTCTACACCGTGCAGCCATCGCTGTAAGGGTAGGCACATTAGTTACTGTTCTCTACACCGTGCAGCCATCGCTGTAAGGGTAGGCACATTAGTTACTGTTCTCTACGCCGTGCAGCCATCGCTGTAAGGGTAGGCACATTAGTTACTGTTCTCTACGCCGTGCAGCCATCGCTGTAAGGGTAGGCACATTAGTTACTGTTCTCTACACCGTGCAGCCATCGCTGTAAGGGTAGGCACATTAGTTACTGTTCTCTACGCCGTGCAGCCATCGCTGTAAGGGTAGGCACATTAGTTACTGTTCTCACTGTTGTGATAAAATCAAGTCAAAAGCAGCTTACAGAACAAACAGCTTCTTTTGCTCAGGATTTGAGGGTCCGTTCATCCCCAGAAAGACGTGGTGGCAGAAGGGCAGAAGGGTGAGGTAATTGGTCACACTGCACCTGCCATCGGGAAGCAGAGAGAGAGCGCCATTACTTAAACCATTTCCTTTTTTTGAGACAGAGTTTCTCTATGTAACCTTGGCTGTCCTGGATCTCAATCTGTGACTACACTGGCCTCTAACTCAGAGATCCACCTGTCTCTGAGTGCTGGCATTACTTTCTTCTTCTTCCATTCACTTTGAAGATTTTTTTAGTTTAATTTTTTAAAATTTTAATGTGCATTGGCGTTTTTGCATGTGCATCTGTGTAAAGGTGTCTGAACTCCTCGAGTTCAGTGATGAGCTAGCTGCCCTGTAGATGGTGGGAATTGAACTCAGATCCTCTGGAAGAACAGACAGTGCTCTTAACTGCTGAGCCATCTCTCCAGACCCTGCTTTCTTCTTTTTGATCTAAGTTTAGAAATTGTTGCTGTGAGCACATTGCTGAAGATGCTGACTGCAAGTGTGAGCCTGTAAGCTGGCCACTATTGAAAGTCACCTGGAATGTGCAGAGAAGAGGCCCGAGGTCCAATAGCTGGAAGAACAATTAATAATGGGTCAGACCTTGGAAGCATTAGTGGCTGCAGAGGATGAGTACTTGCAGAAGGAAGACAAATATGAGAAGGAGGGCAAGGTTCTTTCCGATGAAGGAGGCTGAGACTCAGACTGAGTGTGCAGGGAGATCAGCAACTAAACTGGAAGAGAAAGAGGTTCATGCCAAAGAAGAAAACCTTAGTATGCACCAGACGCTGGACCAGACCTTACTGGACTAAACAACATGTGAAAACCTCCTTAGCTGCACATTTTTCATTTCCCTTTCGTTGTTTTGTTTTTAGACACCTGCTTCCCAGGAAACCCCTTCAGTGCTTTTTTTTTTTTTTTTTTTTTTTTTTTGGTTTTTCGAGGCAGGGTTTCTCTGTATTGCTTTGGAGGCTGTCCTGGAACTCGCTCTGTAGACCAGGTTGGCCTCGAACTCACAGAGATCCGTCTGCCTCTGCCTCCCGAGTGCTGGGATTAAAGGCGTGCGCCACCAACGCCCAGCTTCAGTGCATTTTTTATATAAACTTTTAGCCACTGTCACAGAGACACCTGCAGGGAACCAGCAAGGGCAGGGAGTGTGGAAAGACACACAGACAGGCAAGCCCAAGCTGGGGCACTTACTTAAACGTGCCACTTCCCAGGTTGACATTGCCACACTTGGTAGCGTTTAGGCATGCAGTCTGCTTAGCCAGGGTAGGAAGTCTCACAAAAACAGAAAGATTTCTACCCAGAGTGCCAGGTGGAATCGCTGAGAAGCCTGAGGTTGGAGACGACCAGGGGCAGGTGCCGGCTGGTGCTGCTTTGAACAAAAGGAACCCTGGGGTCTTTTGTTCAATGTTACACAATTAGATTTCTCCCCAACACTAGTTTACTTTCTTTTGAGCTTTACTATGAGACAAGACTATGGGTTTCTTACGACTGTGTTCACTAAAGTCAAGGGTCTGGAAGCCACACTGGTTTTTTTTTTTTTTTTTTTTTTTGGTTTTACAAGACAGGGTTTCTCTGTATTGTTTTGGAGGCTGTCAGTCCAGCCTGGCCTCGAACTCACAGAGATCTGCCTGCCTCTGCCTCCTGAGTGCTGGGATTAAAGGCGTGCGCCACCACTGCCCGGCGCCACACTGGTCTTTTAAGAGTCCCATTCCTTCCCAACTGATGCACTTTCAGTCCCTGCTGAAAGGGGTAAACTAAACTCAAAGGCTTTACTTTTAGAAATGAAGGCAACAGACTCTCACTCAGCTCCCTGCTTTAGTAACTATGACAGGCTATAGAAAAGATACGTAGGGCCGGGCGTTGGTGGCGCACGCCTTTAATCCCAGCACTTGGGAGGCAGAGGCAGGTGGATCTCTGTGAGTTCGAGGCCAGCCTGGTCTACAAGAGCTAGTTCCAGGACAGCCTCCAAAGCCACAGAGAAACCCTGTCTCGAAAAACCAAAAAAAAAAAAAAAAAAAGAAAAGATACGTAGGTCTCTGACACAAGGAACTCTAGATCCTCTGGCCTCCCAGAGTCTAGGGCCAAAACTGAACACAAAGAAACTCCAGGGGGGACCAAAACCTCCCCAGCAGTCTCCAGGATATAGTTCTGAAAACTATGGATAGCTATGTACAACAGGCCACCTGCAAGTAACAAGACAATGCCTTAGAAACCACAGAGTGTTCCCTCTCAGCACTGACCAATGAAAATAATTGGTACACAAGTATTTCATGCCAAAATATGACTTTGAGAAATTCTCCTAATTGTTCCCAAATGTCAATCAATCAGAAACCAACCCATACCTTCTGATGTAATCCTGAAACTTTTGTCTTTAAAACCCAGCAGTAGCTGGTGGTAGTAGCACACGCCTTTAATCCCGGTAGCAGGCGGATCTCTGTGAGTTCGAGACCAGCCTGGTCTACAGAGTGAGTTCCAGGACAGCCTCCAAAGCCACAGATAAACCCCGTCTCGAAAAACCAAAAAACAAACAAAAAACTAGCAACAGACAGGAAACTTCACTCCCGCTGGAGGCTGCTGGTCAGCTAGCTAGACGGGGTCTCTGTCATGGTTGGATGAACAATCATTAAACTTTGCTTTTGCAGTTTAGTGGGTCTGTCTTCCTGGTGGTCTAGGGACTTTGCAACTTGGGCACCACACCTTCCAGCTCAGCAGGGAGAACATTCAACGTAGATTGCCCCCTTTCCAGTTCTCCATGCCGGGGTGAAAGATCTAGGCACTACATATATAACTGGTAAAGACATTTTCTTAAGAATTATAACTATTTGTAAACATTGTATAATGATATGGAATAAAATGCACATTGTAGGACATTTTCTGAAAAACAATTCTTGCTGTGTGTGTGACGTGCACTACACACCTTTTAGCCTGGCAGTGGTAATGCACACCTTTATTCCCAGGACTCAGGAGTTAGAAGGATCTCTGAGTTTGAGGCCAGATGGTCTACAAAGTGAGTTCCAGGATACCCTGGGCTACTCAGAGAAACCCTGTCTCGAGGAAGAAAAGAAAAGAAAAATCAAGCTGTATGAAGGCCTGTTAGGCATTTTTTAAATTAGTGATTGATGTGGCAGGGCCCAGCCTGTGGTGGGTGTGGCCATCCCTGGGCTGGTGGTCCTTGGTTCTGTAAAAAAGGCTGAGCAAGCCACAGGGAGCAAGCCAGGAGGCAGCATCCCTCCAAGGCCTCTGCATCAGCTCCTGCAGGTTCCTGTTCTGTTTGGGTTCCTGTTGTGACTTTCTTTGATGAGAACAGAGACAGGAGAGTGTGAGACAGATGAACCCTCTCCTCCCCATCTTGCTTTTGGTTTTATCATAGCAACAGTGACCCTGACTAAGACACTGGCTTCACTTCAGAAATATTTTTCACTCTGCAGGTCTCTTTAGAAGTTCTGATACATATTTAAATATTCCATCTCTTCCGCTGCAGGTGTTTCTGTGCAGTCATGACTCAGGAGAGGATGGAGGTGACAAAGTGCACAAAAATAATGTTAGGGGCTGGAGACATGGCCCAGCGATTAAAAGCCTGTACTACTTTTGCAGAAGACCTGAGTTCGGTTCCCACTACCCATGGTGGGGGACTCACAACTGCCTGTAACTCCAGCTCCAGGGGATCCAACGTCCGTATCTGTGTTCCATGGGCACTCACATGCACAGACACACGCAGGTACACGCCTACATATACACACACAATTAAAAAATCAGTCTTAAAAATTGAGGTTCTAGGTGCTGAAGGGATGACTCAGAGGTGAAGAGCACCAATAGCTCTTCCAAAGTCATGTGTTCAATTCCCAGCAACCACATGGTGGCTCACAACCATCTATGGTGAGATCAGGTGCCCTCTTCTGGCGTGCAGGAGTACATGCAGGCAGAATGCCATATGCATAATAAATAAATTAACCTTTAAAAAAAGTTTCTAAAGCAAAAGGCCAATCTTGCAGATTTCTGTGGTGTGGATAGACACAGGTTGACATTGATGTGACAGAGCTGGGAGGCAGGCTAGAGAGGGACAATTGCAGTAATCAGAGTACTCTTTATACATGCACAAACTTGTCGCAGAAAAAAATGCAATAAAAGTTATGAAAAGTTGAAAAACAGCTTCCTGTGTGGGAACAAGAGGAAGCATTATCCAGAGTGCAGACTTCAGCTGTTCCCTGTGTCAGTGGTATAGGAACCTGAGGGACACAATGTCATCCACTGACATGCATGGTCACCCCAGGTCCTTATTTTGACATGGACTTTATAAGTTGCTTTCTGGACCTTACTTGGATGTTTCTTAAATGTGGCCCAGCCAGAAGAGCAGATTTTTATTATTGTTAATAAAATTATTATTTCATTAAATAGGAACATAGACTGTCCTGTTTTAGGAAAAGCCTTTGCACTTAGCCAGTAGAGACTAAACCTTTATTAACAGTCTCTTACTAGAACAACCTCTGTTAATGATTATACCATAGATGTTTTCCTAGCTAGAGTCAGATTTGGGTAATCAGAAGTCTAGGAACTTGGGGCTGAGAGTGTAACTCAGTGGTGGAGCGCTTGCCAGACATACACAGGCAGGCCATGGGGTCTATCCATAGCGTTACCGAGGATACAAGTCCAGGAATTTAAATCCAAAGCAAGGTTGTTCACCTGTAATTCCAGCACTTGGGTGAGGGGGTGGGGACAGAAGGACAAGGAAATGAAGGTCATCTTTGACTAGAAAGTGAGTTTCAGATTGGCCTGTCTTTGTTTTTTAAAGGAAAGCTCGAGGGCCATGAAGATGGGTCAACATGTAAAAGCTCTTGCTACCAAGAGAGACAAACCGAGTTCAATCTCCAAGTCCCACATGGTAGAAAAAGAGAACCCACTCACGAAAGTTGTCTCCTGACTTCCACATATGTGCCAAGGCACAGCACACTGATAAACCCCCCACAATAAACAAACAAACAAAGAAACAAATAGTAGTTTTTAAGAGGCTAAGAAATCCAATGAAGAGCCGGTTGTAGTGGCTCTCGCCTTTAATCCCAATACTATGAAGGCAGAGGCAGGCAGATCTCTGAGTTCGAGGCCAGCATGGTCTACAGAGTGAGTTCCAGGACAGCCAATGCAACACAGAGAGACCACGCCTTGAAAAACAAAACAAAGTCAATGAAGAAAATAAGAGTGTATTTTCTGCTAGTGTTTCTGTAATTTCATTAGATTAGATGAATGTGTTTTGACAGCATTTTACAAAGTTCAGATGGCAACAGGAATACAAAATAAAGGCAGCTAAGATTCCCCATAATTTTTCTTACAATTTGAGCATTTCTGGTCATGGACTTATTCCATGTACTTGTTGACTCCTGGATCAATAGCCATGCTTTTTTTTTTTTTTTTTTTTTTTTTTTTTTTGGTTTTACGAGACAGGGTTTCTCTGTGTAGTTTTGGAGGCTGTCTTGGCACTTGCTCTTTAGACCAGGCTGGCCTCCAACTCACAGAGATCCGCCTGCCTCTGCCTCCCAAGTGCTGGGATTAAAGGCGTGCGCCACCAACGCCCGGCAGCCATGCTTTTTTTAAATTTATGTTTTTATATTCCAATCCCAGTTACCCTTCCCTCCCTCTTCTCACACTCTCCCCTCTCTCAGAACTTGTCAAATGCAAATGGGCTAGACATTATTGATAAATTTTATTTCCTGTATATATTGTATATACTTATTGTATATAGTTTTTCTTATGTTAGTTATAGCCTTCTTTTTTTTTTCTCTAGACAGGGTGGTTTCTCTGTGGCTTTGGAGGCTGTCCTAGAACTAGCTCTTGTAGACCAGGCTGGTCTTGAATTCATAGAGATCCACCTGCCTCTGCCTCTGCCTCTGGAGTGCTGAGATTAAAGGCGTGCGCCACCACTGCCTGGCTAGCCTTTTTTGTGTTAGACAAAAAAGGGGAACTGTAGTGATATATTATTTATTATTTATTAAAGCTTGCCTGAGGATTCAGAAAGCAAAGTCAGCCCACAAGCCATAGAAGTCAGTCACACACCTTTAATCCCAGCAGCCAGAAGCTAGGAGGTGGTGGTGCACACCTTTTAATCCTAGCACTCAGAATTAAGAGGTAAACTGATCTCTGTGAGTGCAAGAGTACCCAGGTTTACACAAGCCTGATCCACTTCTAAGGAGAAACAGCTCACACAAAGATGATCTCGGTATCTGGGATCACGCGCCTTTAATCCCAGCATTAGGGAGGTATATAAGACAGGAGCAGGGTCTCAGTATCAGGCATTCATTCTCCAGCCACGCTGAGAATAGAAACGCCCCAGCCCTGTTAGAGGTAAGAGCTCTTTGGTGGCTTGGCTGCTTTACTTCTCTGATCTTCAGTTTGAACCCCACTATCTGTCTTTGGGTCTTTTATTAATTCATATTGCATGGGTATGTTGTGCAGTCATTGTCAATTAATTTTAGGAAGTCTTTAATTTCTGGGATTAAAGGCGTGTGCACGTGTGTACCATGTGCACCACAAGAGGGTCTCAGGTCAGATACCTAGAACTGGAGGTGCAGAGGGCTGTGAGCTGCCTTGTGGGTACTGGGAGCTGAACCTAGGTCCTCTGCAAGAGCATCGCAGGCCTTTAAACCACCCAGCCATCTCCCCAGTCCCACTCTACAGTTATTTTAGTGTATGCTTAATTTGTTAGTTTCGTATTTTGTGATTAAAAGTCTCAAAAATTCCTTTTAAAAAACCCAACAAGATATTCAGGGCCCTCCCGAGACTATGAAGGCAGCAAGCAGCTGTAGGTGAGGGACTTTTCCACCAGCTACAGAGCTGCTTGGAGGAGACTCTCAGACCTAAGGAGCTCCCTGGAGGAGACTCTGAGCCCTGGGGAGCTGCCTTCAAGCCCAGGGATGCAGCTTTCATGAGTTGTGGCCCATGTTGTGATTGACTTTTTGTAGTGAAACCTCTTCCCCATGGTCACAAAAAAAAATCCATTGGTTCACCAAATTGCATAGGTGTCATCGTTACACTGGTCTGTTGTCAGTCTCTATTTAGAGTGGACAGGTTTTTGTTCTATTCTCCCTAGGAAGAGGATCACAGCACAAAGAACTATCTGATGTAGGTGGTCCCTTAGGTTTGGGGCAACAAAAACTAAAAAATGAGAAAACCAGAATTCTAGATTTCCCCTTTCCCAGCTTCCTGTTTTGCTGTGGTGTAAGGAACCTCCTTGGGCCATCTTTGCAATGATGCCTGAATTTCTGAAGCTGGGGCCAAGTGAGCTCCTCTTCGAGTGCTTTTTACAAATCATTCAATCACCTTGACGCAAAAGTGGCGGATGCATGAGCCTCTGTGACCACCCCTCTTGAGACTGTTTGGCTCATCCCTCACTTTGGGATTTTCCCAAGTTTCTCTGTTTCTGAGCCGTCCTTAGAAACACTCCACACCAGCTGGGCGGTAGTGCCTCACGCCTTTAATCCCAGCACTTGGGAGGCAGAGGCTGGTTTACAAGAGCGAGTTCCAGGACAGCCTCCATAGCAATACAGAGAAACCCTGTCTCGAAAAACAAAAAACAAAAAGAAACAGTCTACACCTTCTTTAAGAGTCTGTCATTGACTTGGAGTGCAGCATTAAGCCAGACTAACTGGCCAGTGAGGCCCCAAGATCCTCCAGTGTTTTCTGGCTTATCTTGAGATCACAAGCATATACCAACACACCCAACTTAAAAAAAATAATTATTAATCCAAGAGCGGTGGCGCACACCTTTAGACCCAGCATGAGAGGCAGAGGCAGGCAGATCTCTATGAATTTGAGGCCAGGATGATCTACACAGTGGATTCTGGGCCAGCCAGAGCTATATGGTGAGAACTTATCTCAAACAAAACATATTATTATTGAGTGTGAGTGTGAATGTGTATGTGCAAATGCCATGGCTCCGGTGTGGGTGTCAGAGGACAGTCTGTGGGAGCTGGTCCAGCCCTTCCACTGGTGGGTTCTGGGAATCAAGTCCTCAGGCTTGCACGGCAAATGCTTTTACCCACCTATCCGTCTACCACGCTGTACCCAGCTGTCTACGTGAGTGCCGGAGGTTGAACTCGGGTCCTTGTGTGCAGCTTCGCTGGCTAAGCAACCTTCCCAGCTCCTTAAGATCAAAATTGTTAATGCATTTTTCTTTTTCTGTGTGTGTCCTGCCAGCTCCAGATTTCTGTGGCTCCTCAAGATATCACTCATGATTCTAGGACTTGCCATTGTTGTATTTATGTTCAGAAGTGTGTCCCTTCAAGCAATGTTCCTTAGCTTCCAGCCAGAGTTCCCGAAGCCTGCGCCAGGTGGCCCCGTGCTGAAACTTCTCCCTGAGAAGCACCTGAGGGACCTCTTTACCTACGATGGTGTCTGGTGAGGCTCTGGCTGCTCTGGACTCACTGAAGTCTTCATTGATGTCTTTTCCCCGCTTCTCTGAGGGGGCCCTAGTTCTTATGGACAGTTCTGCACAGGTGTTGATTGCTAAAGTGACTCACAGGCCGAGTGTGGGCTGTGGGATCCGGTACCCAGAAACGATACAACCTCACAGGGAAGATGCTGCCTCCTGGCATCTGCCCTGGTGGGACTCGCTGCCAATTGAAGCCTTTGGCTCTCTGGTTTCAAGAAGCTAGGTGGAGGGGATAATTCAAGAGATGGCTGTTGAGCCTGGTGGTGTGCGCAGGAGACTGAGGCGGGGGTTTGCTATGGGTTTGAGGCCAGTCTGTGCCACACAGACAAGATCTTGTCTCAAAAAGGGAAAAGGGCCAGGAGTGGTGGTGCATGCCTTTAATCCATCACTCGGGAGGTGGAGGCAGGTGGATCTCTGTGAGTGCAGTCCAGTCTGGGCTACACAGTGAGTTCCAGGACAGGCTCCAGAATTACACAGAGAAACATTGTCTCAAAAAAAAAAAAAACAAACAAAAAAGAAAGAAAGAAAGAGAAAAAGGGGGGTAGAAGAAAGGAAAGAGGGGAGGGATTTCAGTCCTTACCTTCCTCCTACCTCTCTCAGTCTGTCTCTGCGAGGGGTCATTGCTGGGTGGTTCCAGGATGTCAACCCAATTAGGAGAGCCGTGTGGGAAAAGAGGTTTTCAGGGTGAGAGTCACACAAGATTAGGGCTAAGGTTCCCCCACTCCCATCAGCCATTCACGTGCATGTGCTTCTCTTGCTTGTTTTAGGCTCTTCCCTAAAAACCAGTGCGATTGTGACTCTGGCCGTCTTCAAAAAAAACACAACTTTCAGGATGCCTATAACCAGAAGGACCTCCCAGCTGTGACTGCCAGGAGACAGGCAGAATTTGGACACTACCAGAGGAGGTGACGCAGGCTGTGGGGGCTCTGGTCTCCTGGGAGAACAACCACACCCGGTGCTCAAGGGAGTGAGGAACCCTAAGGGAAAATGTTTGAACCTCACCCTCCTGAGGGGCCCGGGGAGGAACTGTTGGGCATAAATAAAGGAAGACAATAGAGAATAGAGTCCTCCGAGGAAGATTTGGAGGGTTTTGTACACATAAACATTTCAATAAAACCAATGGAGAAAAAGGAACAGAGAGCTCAACGCCACTCACTAAATCATGATGGTGACACTAGGTGCCCAGGCCAGCACAAAAGGTGACTCTATATTCTGGGAACATTGTGTCACTTTTTATCTTTTGACAGTGCTGGAGACTGAACCTAGGGCCTAGGGCCTCCTACAAGCTAGGCAAGCACTCCAGTTCTTTCCCTGTGGTACTGGGAATCAAAGCAGATTCTTGCTTGTGCTTAGCAGATGCTCTGCCACTGAGCTACAGCCCCAGACTCTCCTTTTCAGTTACATGGAGTTGATATTGAGATTGTTGGTTGAAGAGGGAATTAAATAAGTTCTGGATGGTTCTTACTGAAGGGGATTTTGTACATGGTAGTACTTAACTGCAATCCCAGAACGTGGGAAGCTAAAGCAGGAAGATTGTAAATTTAAGGCCAGCCTGGGCTTCATGGCAAGACCAGTCTCAAACCAACAAGATGGAGTAGTGACAGCCCCTCTAAAGGTAACTTATTATGCAGGGCCAGTTGGCTGTAACGTGAGCCTTGTTCCTGCCTGCATTGTCTATGATACTTGTTTTAGGCATAGATACATTCCACTTCAGGAAGCAGACATCCCTGTTCTGTCAGAGAGGAAGATAGTCTTTCACCCAGATCTACTTTTATTTTTTTAAATCATATGTATGTATATGTGCAGGGGACGATTTCACTTGTTGATTACGAGGGTGATTTCTAGAATGTGTTTGTACACTGACTCTCATGCTTGCTGTCTCCTGAAGAAACGGGCTGCCTCGCACACCACCTATCCTGGCTCCACCCAATCTCCCCTTTGGATACCCAGTCCACGGAGTGGAAGTGATGCCCCTGCACACAATTCTCATCCCAGGTAGGTGCATCTGCGCCCTAAGAGGCTGCAGGCAGCGCTGCTCTCCTTAAACAAAAGGAGGAAGTCGAAGCCAGTCATTCACTGGGTGTTTGTGCAGTTGGCACAACGCGGGAGGCTTGGTGGCGTTTCATTTTGTTAGACTCCCTGCCTCCACAACCCAGAACCTCTCTTTGCATGTGTGGATTCCCTGTAGCTCTAAGATAATACAAAAGTGGGAATTCTGTGGACCTCTGGGGGAGCTTAGGGAATAATTGACTCTCAAAGGTCCTCAATCATCAAGAGCCAATTGATGAGGCCATCTCCAGAGGGTGTTTTCAAAAGAATGCAAAGAATACTGTGTCAGTTCAACTCCCTTCTAAGACAGGAAGAGTAAATGGCTAGGCAACCCCTCACGTGAGCCATGGCAAGCATGTACCTCACCACACACACACACACACACACACACACACACACACACACACGCACGCACGCACGCACGCAGATGCATAATTTGAAAATTTTAAAAATGTAAAGTAAAATAACAATTAAATTCCTTTGTAAGCTCAGTGTGGCAGCATACACCAGTAATCACACTGGAGTTAGGAGACTGAGGTAGGGAGATCAGGAAATTGAGGCCAGCTTCAGTTACACCCTGAGACTTTTTAAACCCCACACTCCAATTTCAAATGATCCAAATTAAAGCAAATAAAACAATAAAGATGAAGCACAAAATGGCCCTTCATAGGGTCTTGAGCACCACCTGCTTCTTCAAAGCTAAGAAAATGCAGGCAACATGGTGCGTTTTCCCCACAGAAGTGGTGGGTGGACTCTGGACCATCTGGTGGGTTCTCCCCTGCTATGACTCTTGGCATCTAGAGGCAAACAGCCCCCACCCTGAGCCATGGAAGAGACCTGAGTTTAGCTGGGTGACAGTAGCACATGGGACCCAGCAAGTCTCCTTGAGCAAGATCCAAATTATCCAAACTCACTGCTATCAGGTGAGATGAGAGTGACGTCCAGGATAGAAGGTGAGCAGGTACCAGACCTGTGGCCGAACCTTCCAGAGGGAACAAGGGGAGGGGGAGGCAGCCTCCCTGGCCCAGAGGCAGCTAAACCTTGTTGGGAGCCATACAGCCTCATCTCGGACCAGCATGTGACTACCTGTCCAAGGGGTTTTCTCAGGGCAAGGCACCTGTGGTCTCTCATTTGGAAAAGAGAAGTAGTCCATGGGACAGTGTAGGAATTTGCAAACTTAATGTAGCTTTCAGACTCCTCTCTCTCATTATATTAGTGATTCTCTATACGGTTTTTAGTTTTGCTCTGCCAGTCACACATGAGCCAGCGGTACTTTCCCCTGGGAATTCCGTTCCTTTTCAAATATTTTCCCCCAAGATTCAGCAGGGGGCTAATGCTTCCTAAATCTCCTACCTGGAATTACTAACTACAACTCCTAATCCTGGAACTTTTCTGACTGAGTGGAAAAGTTGGGTACATATGAGAAAACAATATTTGGAACATTAACCATTCTCACGGTTCTGGAAAGCAGAGTAAGGTGTATATACAGAACAGGGAAAATGTCCCAGGAATACACATAGTGCCAACTGTAGAGAGTGAGTTCCCTGGACACGAATCATATAGAATCAATAAGACCTAGTATATTCTGATAGGAAAACGCAATGGAAAATATGGGCTGTTTAGATCCATCTTTACCATGCATAGGCGCTTATACTGGTGGGGAAAGTATGGTCTAGTGAGATGGGAGAGAGTGCTTTGTCAAAATCTGCCTTTTATGGAGAGATTGAGGCATGGGACCCTCTTGTAGAAAAGGGAACGGTATAAAGTGAATCTTGCAGACATGAAAGAATCCTCTGGGTTTGAATACTGTTGACTTTAAAGCATTGTGCCCATGTCTGTTACTTTTTAACTTTGTAACCTCAAGTAGCTGCCAGCTGACATAAATCCTGCAAAAGCAGGATGTCTGGCTTGCTGTTTAGTTAAGCCTGCAAAAATGCTGAACTGAATGTCTAGAATAAGGTCATGCAGAGGGTGGGAAGGTATATTTGGAGAAGCATAAAGGGGAACAATGGGGGTGTTCATAATGATCACGATGTATTCCTTAAGTTGTGATGTATTTCTTAAAGTCAAATAGAAGCCAGTAATAAAACTGTTCGAGTAACCTTGGTAAGAAAAACTCTGTTTAAGTATAAATAAAGACGGCCTGAGTTATTCGGGGCCACTTGATTGCAATCTACTTGGTGGCCAGAAGTTTTCCTTGCATGGAGGCCCCTTGCCCACCTCAGGACTGAACCCAAGCCGAGGCTGGACCAGGCAAAGCCTCCTCCTCCCTCCTCTGCCCTTGCCAGCGTTCCTTTCAAGCTGAAGTCACAATTATATCTTGTGAAATAACTAATCAGTTCTGCATGGAGGGAGAGCACTGTTGATTGAAACCAAGGATTTAGACAAGTGCTGTACCTGTGAGTTACACCCTTAACCCTGATGTTTTTGAGTCGCCATTTAAAAATGATTTTACATTTTGGGTAACTCATTTATTTTAAAAAATAACACCTATTTATTTGATTTTTTGTTTATCTAAATATTTATGTATCTGTGTGAGTATACACATACATGAATTTGTGTAGATGTGTATGGAGGCCAGAAGACCGTGTCAGGTGCCCTCTGTCACCTCCGCCCTTTCCTTTTGAGGCAAGGTTTCTGGAGCTCATAATTTTCTGCTAGGCTGGAAGTCAGCAAGTCCCAGCAATCCTCCTGTCTCTGCACCCCTCACATCTAGGACAATAGGCATATGTCGATCTGATATTCAGCTGGGACCTGAACTCAGGTCCTTATGATTGTGTAGCAAGCACTCTTTTTTTTTTTTTTTTTTTTTTTTTGGTTTTTCGAGACAGGGTTTCTCTGTGGCTTTGGAGGCTGTCCTGGAACTCACTTTGTAGACCAGGCTGGCCTCGAACTCACAGAGATCCGCCTGCCTCTGCCTCCCGAGTGCTGGGATTAAAGGCGTGCGCCACCAACGCCCGGCGTAGCAAGCACTCTTAACTGCTGAGCCATCTCACCAGCCTGCTTCTTGCATGCTTTTTATTTTTAATGAGATAATATTAAATTGCTTAGTCTACTTGTTAGTTTCAAGGAGTACTGTCACAAAGAATTTGAAAACCTTTGAGGGTGTCTTTGGCTTTTGTTTTGTCCTCTTCCTGTTACTCAGATAAAATATTCTGAAAGCCAGGGGTGGGGGGTGTTGGGCACGCCTTTGGTCCCAGCACTTGGAAGGCAGAGGCAGGTGGATCTCTATGAGTTTGAGGCCAGTCTGGTCTATAGAGTGAGTCCCAGGACAGTCAGGATTACACAGAGAAGCCCTGTCTCAAAAAAACAAAACCTAACCAAACAAAAACCATGCACATACATACATGTAGGCAAAATAAACATATAAAATAAAAAAATTTAATTAAAAAATTTAAAATACAAAAATATGACTCAATGAGGTTCTGGCCTCCAAAATCACATGCTACTATGTAAGTTGATGGCCTTGAATTCCTGATCCTTCTTCCTCTACTACCTAAGTACTGGGAATACATGCATGCATGACCATACCCAGGGTTATGTGGTACCAGGGATCACACCCAAGGTACTGTGTTTCCTAGGCAATCACTCTACCTGCAATGCACACTCTACACACACACACACACACACACACACACACACACACACTGAAACATTATATACATTTATCACTAACTCCCTTGTCTTAGTTTATTTCCCTGTTGTTTTGATAAAACACCCTGACAAAAGCAATTCAGGGAAGAAAGGTTTATTTTACCTCATAGTTCCAGTTTACAGGCTGTCATGGTGGGGAAATCAAGGTATCAGGAACTTGAAGCAGCTAGTCATATGTATAGTCAGTCAGTAGAAGAGGACAAGAGATGCATGTGTGTTTGTGTTCAGTTTATTTTATCCATTCACACAGTACAGAATCTCCTGCCTAGGGAATGGTGTCGCCCACAGTGGTTGGGTCTTCTCATTACCTCATAGACATGTCCAGATGTCATTCTTCCAGGTGATTCTACATTCTGTCAGGTTGATAATTAACGTTAGCCACTGCAACCCCTCTCCCACCTTCTAGAAAGCTGTACTTCTATTTCTGAGAGTGCAGCTGTTCCCAGATTCATCGAAGGGTCATTCAGTGTGTCTCCATTGTTGCTCTCTCATTAGTAGCAAGCCCATCGTCTGGAAGGGGCTGTGTGAGTTCACAGAACCCAAACCTGAGGATGAGCACTAGAAGCCTTTGACCCATGCGTGTTTGAGACGATAGAACCATCTCACAGCCCTGGGAATGGAGACTGTGTAGGTCAACTGATAGAAAATGGCACTTGGTGGTCTCTCCAGATATGTAGGAGTCGGAGGAAGGGAAGTGTATTAGGGAGCATCCGTGTCCTCTCAGACAATGGTCTCTCCTGTGTCTTTTAGGTCTCCAGTATGAAGGGCCAGATGCCCCAGTCTATGAGGTAAGAGTCCCCATACCAGCGTTTTTGGCACTACCTCATAACTATGGCTGATCTCAGCCTTCAATCAAGCCCTATTGCTCATCCAGTGGAAACACCAGATGAATACATGGTAGGCCGTGGGGACATTGCACAGGGATGTTGTAGTCTTGCAGTGGCTGCAGGGAGGACTTGCAAAGCTACACAAAGCTCAAAGCCACCACTGTGGTTGTTTTTGCTTTTGGAGGAAGCTGCTACCACACTCATAGCTGCTGCCTGTGTGGCCTGTGACAACAGTAGTGTCCGACTTTTCTCCTCTCTCAGCATAGCTCTGGGTTGAGGTCTTAGGACTAGATGTGTGATGGGTGATGTATAATCTCATCCAGAACCTGCCAAAGGGCCCTGGGAACTGAGGCTTGGAGTGTGTGTGCCGATAGATGTAGAAGAAAAAAAAATCACAATGGCCAACACTGAGCTTCTATGAGAAATGAGACGATTTAGCAGGTCTTGTATCATTTATTCGTTTATTTATTATTTTTTGGTGCTGAGAATGGGATTCAGGTTATCATTCCTGGCTAGTGCTCTGTGTGTGTGAAGAAAAGTCATCTGATCTCTCAGAGCTGGAGTTACAGGCTTTCACAGAATGCTCATCTTTGTGTTGTGGGTGATGGCCCCCATAGTCTGTTCCCTGGGATTGTATATATAGCTGACCCATCTCTCCAGTCCAGCGGCTTAGTTTTTTCTTTTTTTCTTTTTTCTTTTTTTGGTTTTTCGAGACAGGGTTTCTCTGTATTGTTTTGACAGCGGCTTAGTTTTTTTTTTTTTTTTTTTTTTTTGGTTTTACGAGACAGGGTTTCTCTGTTTTGGAGGCTGTCGGTCCAGCCTGGCCTCGAACTCACAGAGATCCGCCTGCCTCTGCCTCCCGAGTGCTGGGATTAAAGGCGTGCGCCACCAACGCCCGGCAACAGCGGCTTAGTTTTTAATATACCTAGTTTCAGGCGCATGGCATGTGAGCCTTCCTAGCAGGGTGTCTTCGTAGTCCCAGCTGTAGGAAGTTGCAGCAGGAGGCAGAGTTTCAAGGCTGGTCTGGGCAACATAGACACCTCAGAGGTTGGGGAGGAGGAGGAGGAAAAGAAGAAGGAAGAGGAGCAGGAGGAGGAGAAGGAGGAGGTAGAGGAGGAGCAGGAGGAGGAGGAAGAGGAAGGGGGAGAAGAAGAAGAAGAAGAAGAAGAAGAAGAAGAAGAAGAAGAAGAAGAAGAAGAAGAAGAAGAAGAAGAAATAATCTAGAAGTCTTGAAGAGCTGTGTCCCATAAACCCAAAGATAAAAATGTTTGCAGAATGAATCCTATAATCCATGAGTTTCCGGGTCTTGGGGTGAGGATAGGGCCTTAGCTGAAGCATCTACTCCCTTGTAGCCAACCTTTTCCTGTCCTAGCTCCTGATGTGTTTCTCCACCCTGTGTGTTCTGACCCCTGCTGGCCATCCTGGGTACTTGCCTTCCCTGTGAATGGGTTTCTCCATCCATGGCACTTAGAATCAGGGTTTGGAGGATGGGAGAGTAAGGAGTTACAGTCAGGGGGTATAGAGTTTCACTGGATAGGACAAAGAGCCTCTAGAGGTGGATAGGGGTGACTGACAGCTGCACAATAATATGAGTACTCTTAATGCCACCCCCAGGTCACCCTAAGAGCGTCTCTGGGGACACTAAACACCCTTGCTGATGTCCCAGACAGTGTGGTGCAGGGCAGAGGCCAGAAGCAGCTGACCATTTCCACCAGTGACCGGAGGCTCCTGAAATTCATCCTTCAGCACGTGACATACACCAGTACAGTGTACCAGCTCCACAAGGTGGACATGGGTGAGAGTCTGTCTTCTAATTGTAAAATGCTGAGCGGGCTGGAACACAGCATCAGTTCCTCCAGGAAGCCAGCAGGCTCCAGAGATTCTTCCCGTGTGCCAGATTCCTGTTTAAGGAGCCCAAGAGTGTCCCCCTGTTGCCACTGACCCCAGGGAGTGCCTTGAGAATGGTCATTGACACTGCTTGCCTTGCACACGGCAGACACCATGTCAGCGTTCCGTCAGCTGATACCTGAGATAACATATAGAGCAGGAAAGGGTTCCTTTGGCTCACAAGTTTGGAGGCGCCAGTCCATGGCGAGCTGGCTAGTGGTGAGGCAGCGTAGGGTGGTGGAGCTGTGTGACAGTGAAGGTCTCTCAGCTCACTGCTGGGAAGCAAACTGGAACAGAAGAGATGGGAAGTGGGCCTTGCTGTACCTTAAAGGCATGCATGCCCACAGGGACCTGAACACTTCCCATCAGACTCGGTTCCTAAGAGCTCCATCCCCCAGTGTCACCACAGTGGTCTGTACCTGTGCTATGCATGCTGGGATAATAGGCATGTACCTCCAAGGAAGGTTTATGCAATGCTGGCATTCAAAGCCAGGACTTCCTGTGTGGCACGCAAACACTCTAGCAACCGAGTTACATCTCTAGTCTTGTTGTTTCTTGAGATCGGCTTTCATGTAGCCAGGGATATCCCAAACTCCCTTATGTAGTTGTGGCTGGCTGGTTTTGAACTCCAGGTCTTCCTACTCTCGTTTCCCAAGTTTTGTGGTTACTGGTGTGTTCCACCATACTTGGCTTATTTTTTGTTTGTTTGTATGTCTGTTCATTAGATGAGGCAGGATCTTGTTGCATATCCTGGGCTAGCCTCAAATTCTCAACTCCTATGCCTCAGCCTTCATAATGCTGGGTGGGTAGGATTACAGGCATATGTCACTATTCCTAGCTAATCTTTCTAGTTCTGTTAGCCATTATCTATAACTTTTATATTCATTTATTTATTTAAATTCCAGTCAGTTGTTTATTGGGGGGCATGGACTTACCACAGGGGCATATGGAAATCAGAGGACACCTTGTAGGAATTGGTTCTCTGCTTCTATTGTGTGAGTCCTAGGGATCAAACTCAGTTCACCGGATTTGGCATCAAGCACCTTCATCTGTTGATGACCTATCTGCAACTTCTACAGCTGCCTCAGCTTCTGTCGAGGAGGCAACCAGCCCAACCAGCCTGTGCATCAATATCTTGTCCTGGGTACTCATGGAAAGAGAGAATGTACCCCCTGTCTCTCTCCACATCCCCTCCCGCATTACAGAGACTCCCGGGAGAAAAATCTTTCGACCTCCATTTCTATTTGCATCAGCTAAAATTATCTTCTTTTTTTCTTTTTTTGAATAACTGGCATAGCACAGTAACAGGGGAAATGCAATATGAACAGATAACAGTTTAGCTTAGTTATTAGAGGCCTTTCCTAGCATGCACAGAGCCCTGGGTTCCATCCCCAGCACCACATAAAACTGGGTGTTGGGGTGCTATGCCTAAAACCCTAGCACTTGGGAGGCGGAACCAGGAGGATTAGATGTTCCAGGCTGTTCTCCATAGCTATAGTGCACATTCTTCTACCTTCAGATTTTAAAGCATTTCCCTTCGGAAAACGACCCTGTGCCATAAGGTGTAGTGGATATTACTGTTCTGGTTCTGTCACCGGAGAAGCTGATGGAGGAACTCATTCCAGACAGGTCATAGCAGAGTCAAACTTAATCCAGATCCTTGAGTCTCCAGCTTGTGCCAGCAGCGTGTCCCTACGGCAGGTTGCCCCGGGAATGCACAGGCAGGAGCCAGGATGCCCGGCCTGCAGCATGGATCCTGTCTCCTCCCATCCAGGAGTCTCCCTGCAGCTGCTGGCTTCATTGGGTTTCTCAGGGCAGCAGAATCCTATCAGATCTCAGACTGCTGGGCTCTTACCTTTCTTTCCCTTCCAGTGAGTCTGAAGTTCAAGTCCTCAGTGGCCAAGTTTCCAGTGACCATCAACCAACCTGTTGTACCCAAGTTGTATGACCCTGGACCTGGTAAGGCTCTTTCTTGTCTTTGGGCCTCAAGGATTGCATCAGGCTGGGTGAAGTTCAAAGGGCGTGGCTCTTTGAATGAATGCTTGGTCCCTAGCTGGTGGAACCGTTTTGGGAAGGATTAGAGGTGTGGCCTTGTTGTGGGAGGTGTGTGGCTGGGAGTGGGCTTTGAGCCTTCGAAAGACCCAGTCTCACCTTCTTCTGCCTCCACTTGTGAATAAGATGTAGGCTCTCAGCTACTTCTTAGTGCCGTGCCCGCCTGCTTGTTGTCTTGTTCCCAGTCATGATGGTTACTGCCTCAGCTAGGGCTTCTATTGTTGTGAAGAGACACCTTGACCACAGCTAAAAGTTTAATTGGGTGGCTTACAATTCAGAGATTCAGTCCCTTGTCATCGTGGTGGAGCATGGCAGTGCAGGCAGACATTGTGATGGAGAGACAGCGGAGAGATCTACATCTTACACAGTCACCAGGAAGTGAACTGAGGTACTGGGTATGGCTTGAGCATATATGAGACCTCAAAGCCCACCTTCACAGTGACACAACACACTTCCTCCAACAAGGCCATGCCTACTCCAACAAAGCCACGCCTCCCAATAGTGTCACTCCCTGTGAGCTTATGGGGCAATTACATTCAAACTACCACAGTCATGGACTCACCTTCTGAAAATGTAAGCAAGCCCCCAATTAAATGATTTATGTATAAGCTGCCCTGATCATGGTGTCTCTTCACAGCAATAGAAAAGCAACTAAGACAGAGGGATCACGCTTTCCTTATAATTCATTTTAATTATTTTTAATCGTGTGTATGCACATCCGCACTCGTGTCTGGGTGTCCACAAAGGCCAGAGGTTGGATGTCCTTAGAGCTGGAGGTGTAGGTGGCTGTGGGTCACCTGGCATAGGTGCTGGGAACTAAACTGTGGTCCTCGGCAAGAGCAGTGTGTGCTCTTGACTGCTAAGACATCTCATCTCTCCAGTCGCCTCAGCCCTTTTTCAAGACAAGGTCTCTTGTGTCCCAGGGTGAGCTCAAACTATGTATATGGTAGAGAATGAGTGTGCTTTTGAACTTCTGACTTCCTGTCTCATTTCCCCAAGTGCTGGAATTTTATGCACGCACTGCCATGCTCAGTTACTAGGGATCAAAGCTAGAACTTTGGGTATATTAAGCAGGCATGCTACCAACAGAGTTGTTTCCATCCCTTTCTTCTGTATTTATTCCAGGCTAGCCTGGTAATCCTCTGGACTCAGCCTTGTGAGTGATGGATTACAGGCAATTACTGGTTGTGTGTGTGTATGTGTGTGTGTGTACACGCACATGTGCATGCATGTACACTCATGCCAGACTGGGAATATGAAGTTCAGAGGACAATCTCAGGTGTTGTCCCTTTATTCCACCTTATTTGTGGCAGGGTGTCTTTTTTGTTGTTAGCTGTTGTGTATACCAAATTACCTGGCCCTCAACCTTCCACAGATTCCCCTGTCTCCGCCTCCCATCTCACCTTGGGAGCACTGGAATTACAGCTGTGGTTACTGAGCCTAGCTTTACATGGATTCTGGGGACTTGAACTCACAGATTCACCTTTGTGCAACAGGTGCTTGTCCACCAAGCCATCATCCCTGCCTCAAGTGACTTTTTTTAAAATGTAGGATCTGTAAACATTCATTCTTCTAGTGATCTTGCTTTTTATTTTGTGAGATTTGGTATTGTTTCATAGTCTAGGCTGATCTTGACCTCACCATCCTCCAGCCTCTGCTTGCCAAGAGCTGGGATTGCAGGTGTGAGTCAGAATTCCTAGTGCTTGATCCCTTCCTTCTCCCTCTCTGTCTTTCCTCCTCTCCCTCCCTCTCTCTTTTTATCCTTCTCTCCCTCTCCCCCCTCTCCATTCTTCCCTCCCTGGCTCTCAAAATGAAGGAAAGATTTGCTTGTCTAATGGTTTTAAAGGTCATTTTCCTCATTGCAGCTTTAAAGGGTTCATTTGGCTCGTGGTTTGAGGGTTCATCGTCACAGCAAGGAAGTGTGTGTAGGAGTGCGAGGCGGTTGGTCACACTGTGCCTGTGTAGGGAAGCAGCAAAGAGGAAGCATCAGGGTTCTGCTCGTTCACACCTCTCATGCGGTCCAGAAACGCAGCCTACGGAACACTCACTCAGGGCTGGCTTTCCTGCCTATGGCAGTTAAACTTGTCTGGAAAAACCTGCATGATTTCAAAGCTATCAACTTGACAATCATGCTACTATCCCAGAAGGGTTCATGGCAGTGGAGCATGCCAGAGTTGGTGGTGTATGTGTGTGCGCGCGCACAGGGAATGAATCTCGGTTCATTTCTCGATGCCTTTTAAACCCTGCGTCCTACCTTAGTCAAATGATGGTTAGAATCACCTCTTCCCAATTTTTACAGTTGCTTTCTTTTTCTTTTTTCTTTTTTCTTTTTTTTTTTTGGTTTTTCGAGACAGGGTTTCTCTGTGGCTTTGGAGGCTGTCCTGGAACTCACTCTGTAGACCAGGCTGGCCTCGAACTCACAGAGATCCGCCTGCCTCTGCCTCCCGAGTGCTGGGATTAAAGGCGTGCGCCACCAACGCCCGGCTTACAGTTGCTTTCTTTTTCTTGCTGTGCTGGTTTGAATGAAAATGGCCCCCACAGGCTCATGTATTTGAATGAGAATGGCCCCCATAGGCTCATGTATTTGAATGAGAATGGCCCCCATAGGTTCATGTATTTGAATGAGAATAACCCTGATGGTCTCATGTATTTGAATGAGAATGGCCCCCATAGGCTCATGTATTTGAATGAGAATGGCCCCCATAGGTTCATGTATTTGAATGAGAATAACCCTGATGGTCTCATGTATTTGAATGAGAATGGCCCCCATAGGCTCATGTATTTGAATGTTTGGTACCCAGTTGGTGGAACTGTTTGGGAAGGATTAGGAAGTGTGGCTTGGGAGGAGATGTATCACTGGGTGTTGGCTTTGAGTGTTCAAAAACCCAGGCTCAGTTTCAGAGGTGTCTCTCTCTCTCTCTACCTGCAACTGTGGGTCAGGATGTAAGTTCTCAGATACTGCTCCATCACCATGCCTGCCTACCTGCTGCCATGCTTCCAGCCATGATGGTCATGAACTAACCCTCTGAAACTGTAAGCAAGCACCCAAATTACATTCTTTCATTTATAAGTTACCTTGGTCCTGTTGTCTCTTCACAGCAATGGAATAGTAACTGCGATACTTTTCATATTGTATTTGGCTTTAAGAACATTCTAGCACTATTCCATGCGTGCTGCTGTGTGGCAGGTGTTTCAGGGTAAGAATCCTCCCTTCTTCCTTCTGTTTCCAATGGTTAGTTAGTTTGTTAGTTTGGTTTTGATTTTTCTTTCTTTTTCTTTTTTCTTTTTTTGGTTTTATGAGACAGGGTTTCTCTGTATTGTTTTGGAGGCTGTCGGTCCAGCCCGGCCTCGAACTCAGAGAGATCCTCCTGCCTCTGCCTCCCGAGTGTTGGGATTAAAGGCGTGCCCCACCACCGCCCGGCTGGTTTTGATTTTTCAAGACAGGGTTCCTCTGTGTAGCATTAGCTGTCAAGGAACTCTCTCTGTAGACCAGTCTGGCACTGATCCCACAGAGACCCACCTGCCTCTGCCTCCTGAGTGCTGGGATTGAAGGCTTGCACCACCACTACCTGGAGAATCTTTGCTTAAAAATATATTTAACTTTGTGTGTATGTTTGCTTACATACATGTATGTGCACCATGTGCTCAGTTAGTGCCCTTGAGGGCCAGAAGAGGGCAGCAGAGCCCGTGGAGCTGCAGTTAAAGGTGGTTGTGAGCCACCAAGCAGGTGGTGTGACCTGAACCCAAGTCCACTGCAAGAGCAGCTGACACTCACTGCTCCAGCTGTTTGTATCTTTTCCATGGAAAAGTTGACCCTTTTCTCTTTTCCAAGCTTTTTGCTTTTTCCTTTCTCCGTTTTTATGTGGATGTGTGTTGTACTTGTATATACACATGTTGACATGTGTGTCAGCACAGATGGTGTAGATGACTCACATGAACATGTGTACATGAGCATGATGTGCACATGGAGACCCAGGGAGAGTGTTTGGAGTCATCCTCCATGACTGTCCCACCTTGTTCATGGAAGCAAGGTCTCTGGGTCAAAGCCAGAGTGTGACAATACAGCCACTCTCTCCCTGGCCAGCTTATTCTGGGGTCCCTCGAATCCATCTTCTGAGTGTGGAATTACAGTGTCACCACCCTCTCCCAGCATTTGACATTTGCGTGGCTGAACATCTCTCCTGTGTCCCTGAGTCTGGTGGGCTTCTTGTTTGTTTATTTTTATGAGTCACATGCTTTAAGGTGAACAACCTGGTCCAGGTCCTCTGGTTTTCATGTGGGCTTCTTTCTAACTGTGCTTCCCTGAGATAGAGGCCAGGGGGGGCTTCTCCTAGGAAGCTCTTCCTAGAACTGATGGCAAGGGTAGGTCTCAAGTCCTCTAGACCTTATCTTTTCCTGGGGTCGGAATCTTTTGTCTGGAACCCCTTATGCAGCTTCATTAAGATGGAAGCAAGACAAAGGGGGCTGACAACAGACAAGCAGAAAATGAAGAATCCAGACATCAGGAAACTGGTATGGCAAAGTCAACCAGGGATGAAAATATTTCACTAAGTTGGGTAACCTTATAATGTTGAGGGATATTTGAACATACAGTGTGAAGATGTGTTGTACCTCACCTGTATAAGACACCTTCTGATTGGTTTAATAAAGAGCTGAATGGCCAACACCTAGGCAGGAGAAGATAGGTGGGACTTCTGGGGAGAGAGAGGAAGTTGGCAGAAGAATCTGAGTGGTGGGGCGTTCGACAGCCAATGCAGAGGAAGTTGGCATACAGTACTGAGGAGAGGGGACAAGCCTCATGGCAGAATGCGGACTAATAGAAACAGGTTAATTTAAGTTTTAAGAGCTAGTTGGGAGCAGGCCTAAGCTAAGGACAAGCTTTTATAATTAATAAAAAGTCTCCATGTCATTATTTGGGAGCTGGCAGCCCAAAGAAAGACTGCCATTATACATATAATGCCTTTGTTTCCCAGTGCAGCTGACAAACTCTCCCCAACGCTGACAGGTCAGAGACGAAAGAAGCCATCAGATGATGAGAGTGTAGCTCAGTTGTTGAATGTTTGCTTAGCATGCATGAGCCCCAAGAGTCAATCCCTGGCCATGCAGAAAACGAAACAAAGCAAATCCATCCGAACAGAGCAAATCCAGAGTCGGGTTCCAGCATGCATTTTAAAATTTTTCTCTAGAGAGGAAGCTCAGGAACCTGGTGACCATTGCCACCAAGACGTTCCTCCGTCCCCACAAGCTTAAGATCCTGCTGCAGAGTATTCGAAAATATTACCCAGACTTAACCGTGATTGTGGCCGATGACAGCAATGAGCCCCTGGAAATTAAAGATGACTATGTGGAGTATTACTTCATGCCCTTTGGGAAGGTATGTCCCCCTCAAACCTGGCTCCCAGAACAGGCGGGCCCCAGATTCAGCTGCTTCCATGGTCTTCTCTATGGATCAGAGTCCTGTGCTAAGAGGGGCCAGAGCTTCTCTTGTTCAGATGCAGAGGGAAGCTGGACCAATGTCACTTTTATACATTAATGAAATACTAGGTTGTTCCATCTTTGTTCCCCTTTGGTGTGGAAATTGGCAGGGGTCCTTGTAGGTGACTTACAGGAGTTGACATCTGATTGCTGTGTGTAGGGTAACAGCAGATCTTTGCTCCCTGTGATTGTGCCCAAGCTAGGCTTCCCCTCTTCCCTCTTTCCCATCTTCCCCCAAGGATAGCAGAGGGAAGGACATCGTTGATAGCAGATGTTCCCTAAACCCACATCTCCCAGGAAGTAGAAGGAAACTGAGATGAAAAAAGACTCCAGTGTATTCCCAGAGGCCACAGGGACCTCCTACACTTTGTCTCAGTCTCTGAATCCAGAAAGTCACTGTCCCTGCCATGTGTCTGAGGTGTGGACTCTTTTTTTTTTTTTTTTTTTGGCTTTTACGAGACAGGGTTTCTCTGTATTGTTTTGGAGGCTGTCGGTCCAGCCCGGCCTCGAACTCAGAGAGATCTGCCTGCCTCTGCCTCCTGAGTGCTGGGATTAAATGCATGGGCCACCACCGCCCGGTGGTGTGGACTCTTTTGACCTGGCGGTTGTCAGCCTTGTCTGAACTATGGAGTCCCCACAGATTCCAACTTCACCCATGGTGGGAGGCAGCCTGACCATTGGGAATTCAGAGGCCCTACCCCCGATGACAACTGCTGATCCAACCCCATGCCATCTGCAGGGCTGGTTTGCTGGTAGGAACCTAGCCATCTCACAGGTGACCACTAAGTATGTCCTCTGGGTGGATGATGACTTTCTCTTCGACAACAAGACCAAGATTGAGGAGCTGGTGGATGTCCTGGAGAAAACTGAACTGGATGTGGTAAGGGACAGTGGCTGAGCTCAGCTGGCCGCAGTCTGTAGTGGTGAAGAGGGATGGAGAAAGAATAGGAATGTCAGTGTCTGAGGGAGGAGGAGAGGGAAGGATGAGGCGGGAGAGGGTCCCACAGGATGTGCAAGAGCGTGTGAGTTCTGCTTTTGACTCCTTGATCGCTTTCTTTGAGCAATTTTGTACTACACACTAAAAAGTTCACAATTGTTCTGTTTTTAAAGCAGCATGTTTATACATCATTTCTAATTCTTTTCTTGGACTGTATGAGGTTTAAGAGAACTGTGTGCTTGTTCAGTCACATTTTTAAAAATTCTCTTTTAGGTTGGTTTATTTTTATTTTATGTGTAGAATCGTTTTGCCTGCAACTATATCTGTGCACCATGAGTGTGCCTGGTACCCACAGAGGCCAGAAGCAGATGTTGGATTCCCTGGAACTGGAGTTACTGATGGGTGTGAGCTGCCATGTGGGTGCTGGACTCTTAACCTCATCTCTCCACACCCCCACATCTGCTTTAAATAACAACTGGGTATGGTGGCGCACACCTTTATTCCCAGCACTGTGGAGGCAGAGGCAGGAGGATCTCTGTGAATTCAAGGCCAGCCTGGTCTACAGAAGATGACCCTGTCTCAAAGACAACAACCACAGCAAACCCTAAAGATATAAATATTGACTTTGTGTGGTGGTGCATGCCTGTGATCCCAGCACTTGGGAGGTGGAAGCAGGATGATGGGAGTTCAAGGCTAGCCTCAGCTACAAAGCAATGTGTACGTATGTGTGTGCACATTTGTGTGTATGTGCCTGCATATGGGGATAGGTATTCAGTGTTCTGAAGGACCCAGAACCTCTTCCTCCTCCTCCTCTCCCTCCTCCTCTTCTTTTCCCTCCTCGTCCTCCTCGTTCTTCTTCTACAGGGTTTCTCTGTAGCTTTGGAACCTGTCCTGGAACTCTCTCTGTAAATCAGACTAGCCTTGAACTCACTGACATCCACCTGCCTCTGCCTTCCGAGTGCTGGGATTAAACTGGCTCCGTATCGTACAACTTCTATTCTATTCTGTCCAGAGAGGCTTCCTAGAAGGATGATTTGTGACCCTGCTCAGACCCAGGTTTCTGTTTGCTGACTAGGTGGGCGGCAGTGTGCAGGGAAATGCGTTCCAGTTCAGGCTGTTTTTGGAACAGAGTGAGAACGGGGACTGTCTTCACCAGAGACAGGGAGGGTTCCAGGCCCTCGATGGCTTCCCCAGATGCGTGGTGACCAGTGGTGTTGTCAACTTCTTCTTGGCTCACACAGAACAACTCCGAAGAGTTGGTTTTGATCCCCGCCTGCAACGCGTGGCTCATTCAGGTGGGAGGCTTGGAGGGGTGGTGCAGGGAGTGGGGAAACCCCTTCTTGCTACACCAGGAATCTCCTTCCCTTTCACCCCAGACTATGGAGCTCATGGTCCCTCTTGCCACCCTCATTTCTCTGTGTCTCCCCTAGGCTGCCTCTGCCCATTTCAAACACCCCACTTCCTTTCCCGAAGCTCTGACCTTTACTTTCCCAGCCCCTGCTTCACATTTTTGTTTTAGGAAGTCTCTGTCACCTAAAACTGCACCTGGTGACTGCCCTTCCCCCTCTGCAGCTTCCACTCCTGAGCTCACATTTAATGGAACTCAGTGGTGCCTCTGTCCACACTCCTGACTGAGAAAGGAGGTTATCTGTTCCCGTGGTTAGGAACCAGGAGCTCTCCTCAGGTGTGTGTGGGGAAGCCTGGCTGACTGCAGCTCTGTCTCCCGTTCCTCTTCTCTTTGCAGAGTTCTTTGTTGATGGGCTGGGAAGCCTGTTGGTGGGCTCCTGTCCAGATGTGACCGTACAGCACCAATCCCATGCACCATGGAAGGACCCAGAGGTGGCTGCCAGGGAGAAGTCTTATAATACATACCGGACCAATACCAATGCTCAGGTCCAATTCAAGCTAGCTCTCCACTACTTCAAGAACCGTCTTCAGTGCTCCACTTAAGGGTGCGAGGAACAGGAAACTCAATAAACAAAACAGATTGTCTTCAGCAACCAAAAAAAAAGTAGGACTGGCCATTAGGGATACGGAAGAAAGACTCCTAACAAGAGGAGCAGGGAGCAAACCAGCTGGTAGCTAGGCCGATGAGATAGGAATAGCTCAGTTCCTGAGCTATTCTGTTCAGAGACGTTAGAGATGGGCCAGTCCCTGGTCAGGGCAGTGGAGCCGACGTAACAGTTATTAAATACGGTATGCCCTCCCATTTATGGAGTACCCACACAGACAACAACTCAGTCCACTCACCTGCGCTCATGATAAGGAGGATGCTGATTGGTACCCTCCATGAAGAGAATGGCTGCTGGAGGCACGGAATGCTCGGTGGGTAAAGCACTTTCTGCCAAGCCTGAGTTTGATTCCTTGAGACCCCCATGGGGGAAGGGGGGCAGTGACTCTAATATAACTGTCCTCTGACCTCTGTGGGTGTGTGCCCCCTCTTCCCACATACCATAAATAAATGCAAAAATAAAAGTAGATAATGGCATACACCTTTAATGACAGCACTCAGGGAGCAGAAGCAGGCAGATCTCTGGGATTTCAAAGCCAGCCTGGTCTACACAATGAGTTCCAGGACACCCAGGGCTACATAGAGACCCTGTTTCAAACACGCACTCCGAGATGAAACGGTGTGATCAGAAACACCATTCTAGCATCACCATCATCCGCACATCTTTGTTTGGTTTTTGTGTACAGCCGATTCACATGAATAGCCAGTGTCCTTGCCTGGAGGAGTTGCAGCCTGGTTCAGACTGCGGTGCGCTGGTAGTCAGGGCTGCTGGCAGCTGACTGCTGTCAGATGCTGCATCTGGGGGCGGGGACAGGGCTGGACCGGTCATACTGTGAAGCACAATGGAACTTCTTTATTCACTGTGTGGACATTGAATGCCATTTAAGCAACAGTAAAAAAATACCGACTTGACTGTGGTCCTATCACAGGTCTGTGATAGGGGCTGGGGTCTGTGATGAAGTCTGTGACCTGTGGTGCCACCAAAGGCCATGCCAATCTGAGTGGCCTGCAATGCCACCTGGGGCCATGGTGACATCTGGACCCAGGCTGCTACTGAGGGTAATAACTGAGTCTGTGGTCCTACGACAGCCGGGGGTGGGGTATGGTTTATGCTGATGCCTGTGGCCCCTAGTAGCACCAATGGCCACACAGATGCCGGGGGTCTGGGCTGCAACCTATGGTCATGTTGGTTTCTGAAGACCATGCTGATCTGGGTGGCCTGCACTGCCATGGTGCACAGGGCCATGGTGTTGTCTGGGCCTGGGCTGCTGCCTAGAACTATGACCAGGCCCATGGCCCAGCAGCAGCCAGGGTCTGAGTTGATGTCCATGGTTCCTATTACCACTGAGGGCTGTGTGGATGCTTGGGGTCTGTACAGCCACCTGAGACCATGCTGGTGTCTGAGGGTCATACTGATCTGGGTGGCCTATGCTGCCACAGGGGCCGTGGTGACATCTGGAAGCAAACTGTTCCCAAGGGCCATGTCTGGGGTCCATGAACCTGCTGCGGCTGGAGTCTGAGATGATGTCCATGGCTTCTATTGCCACAGGGAGTCAGAAGAACCATGTATGTTACAACCGTGGGCCAGGTTGAGCTGGGAAAGCTGGCCTGCCCCTTGCTGGACAATGTGGCAAGAGAGCTGGCCCTGCCCCTCATGGGAGACCCCTCTCAGAAGAGATGGCTCTACCCCTTACCATGTGTGTGGGAGAGCTGTTCCAATGGCATGGGTCTAGGAAAGCTGGCTCTGTCCCTTGCTTGAGAGGGGTGGTCTCAGTGGCCCAGACAGACCAGCTCAGCTACTGGGTTGGCCCACCCTAACATCTACCCCAGCTTAGACTTGCTGGGATTCGTGAAGGGACTGGTCCTGCAGGAACTTAATGACTCAGGGCAACAGCAGGGTATCTAAGAGGATTTCCGTGAGGGTGCAGTGACGATGTGTGCCAGGGGCCTTGAACCAGACCAAACTCATTGCAATGAATATTTGTGGGTGGGGCGGATTGGACAAAAGGGTGTACTGCCTGGCACACTGTAGCTCACAATTCATCTAGGATGAATGAAGAAATGTTGGAAAGATGGAGGAGCAAACTGGGTTTTTGTTTGAGTTGTTTTGTTCTTAATTGATTTTGGGGGGTTTCTGCTGGGAATGTTGCACAGGTCAGGGGAGGATATGGAGAGACTGGGAGGTGAGCGGGATTGGGGTACACGATGTGAAATTCCCAAAGACCTAATAAAGAATTATGTTTTATATGTGTGTGTGTGTGTAACATACTGACCTTTCTTTGGCAAATCAACTGTAAATAAAGGTAGACAGTGTACGCTTCCACTACCTCCAAGCATAACTGAAACTTAACTTGAGCCATTTCTGGTACATTCCTGTCAGATGGCAACAAAATTTAGCTTCAGCAAATCATAAGCAGCTAACTAGCATGATGGTGGGAATCATTCCATAAACAAATAAGCTTTACACTGTCATTGTGCCCCAGCCTTCAGTTTCATAATGCTAACATTGCAATCATTTAATTTTCTAAAAAGCTCAATTAAAATAGTTATTCAAAGTCGCCGGGCGTTGGTGGCGCACGCCTTTAATCCCAGCACTCGGGAGGCAGAGGCAGGCGGATCTCTGTGAGTTCGAGGCCAGCCTGGTCTACAGAGCGAGTTCCAGGACAGCCTCCAAAACTACACAGAGAAACCCTGTCTCGAAAAAACCAAAAAACAAAACAAAACAACAAAAAAATAGTTATTCAAAGTCAAATGTTATGGTGCACAGTTGTAATCCCGGAACTCAAGAAGTAAAGTAAGAGGACTAAGGCCAGCCTGGGCTATGTGAAAGTGCCTGGAGAGATATCTCAGTGCTTAAGAGTGATGACCTAGGTTTGGTTCCCAGTACCCACATGATGAGTCACAACTGTCTGTAACACCCATAACTATAGTCCCAGGGGATTGGAAACCTCTTCCAACATCCAAGGGCTCCTGCATATACATGGGGCACATACATACACTTTGGCACACATATGCACACACAAGAAAATAAGTTTAAAATAAATAAATGACTGGATGACTGACTGGATAAACGCTAACCAAGTAATTCTGATTTTATTTTGTTGGGATGGCCAGGCCTAGAACTCACTTTGTAGATCGGGATGGCCTCAAACTCATGGCAAGCCTCCTGCCTCCACCTCTCAGTTATGCAGTATCAGGTGTGAGCCACCATTTCTGGCTTGATTTTAAGCTTTGAAACCTTGACTTTTAAGTATACTTGTTCATTATAATTTTTATATTTTAAAATAATATTAAAATGCAAAATATTATAGAATATTCTCTAATAAAAATAACTCCTAAACCATGAAAAATAATGCTAATTTAAAGGTTTGCATTTGCTCCAATTTATCCTTGAGGCAAATTTTGGACACTCTGAATATACTTACACTTGGTTTTTTGCTTCCTGAGGGATTGCTCAGGGCTGGTGCACAGAAGGAGGATGAAGGGGCCGAGATACACCAGCTGGTTGTAGTGCAGGCCTTTAATCCCAGCCTTGAAGTCACAGATCTGCCAGCCAGGAGTATACAGTGACATCTTTTTCTTTTTCAAAACAGAACCCAAATCAGGGGCTGGGGAAACAGCCCGGAAGCTAAACTGCTTGCTATGCAAGCATGTGGATTAGGTTCAGATTACAGCATTGCACAGCAAGGCATGGCTGCCAGTCTGTAACCCCAGGCACACTCACAGCAACTGCAATGGCCTCCATTTTGATGGGCTTATCACCATGCTCAAGGACAGTCTCTTCTCTACTTCAAGGTCTAGAGCCACTTCTCCAGGAGAGAAAAACAGTCAAGATGGAGCTTTGGTAGAGTTTGCCATGGTCCCGCAGCCTCTCATCCACATAGTATGTTCTAGAGGGGTGTGAAATATTGTATTCAACTCAAAGGCTTCAGGAAGTCCCTGAAGCCCACCAGACACCCTAGGCCCCGCCCTCTCAGGTATATGAAAGCAGCGTGGACTGCTGCACTCTCGGACAAGCTGAGCTGCCTGAAACAGACATTCTCCAACTGTAGAGTTGCCAGCAAGTTTTTCAGGGGGCTCTCAGTTTACAGTTTTTGTGATGTGGTGAGCTTTTGTGCTGCAGCTGTCTTTTGAGTCATTTTTGCTCCTATGATAGTAACCCCTCACCCATACTTTGGTAAGTAACCCCAATAAAACTCATTGGTTCACTACCCTGGACTTGGGCGGTATCCTTATTTTGGTTTGTCATTGGTTCCCTAGTTGGGGTAAGTAGACATTTGTTCACATCTTCCCATGGGTATGTCACATGACAGTGTGATATTAAGGGTCTCTGAGCACTAAACAGGAACATTTCTTCCTGTGGGCACTTCTTTGTCCCTAGCAAGTGGTTCAGTGACCCAAGTCTGATAAGACACCAGCCACATCTAAAGATTAGCAAGTCCCAGAGCCTATTCTGTGAATTCCCAGCCATACCAAATGGAGTGAACAAGAGGGTGAGAAAAACTGAGTCCCAGTCATGGAAAAGGGAAGCAGTCCCTTAATGCCACCTGAGGATGCAGGAAAGTGGGTGTCAGTTGAGCTGAGATTAAGCTAAAAAAGAAGGTGGAGGGAATGCAAAGGACAAACCAGAGCAGGAGTGGGGACAGAAGGGTGGAGTCAGTGTAGACACAGAAGGAACTGTCATCTATACCCTGTAGGAATATAATCCTGCCCTACAGTAGCTCTTGAGAAACCATGGAGGTGGATTGTGGTGACAATGCCTTTGATCTCTGATCTACATAGCTAGTTGGGAGGCAGGGGAGCGGTATCTCTACTTAGCCCTAGCTGTCCTGAAACTCACAGAGATCATTCTGCCTGTGCCCCCAGAGTGCCGGGATTAAAGGCATGTGTCACCACGTCCAGCTCATAGGGCCTTAGTAAGAATGAAATAATCGGGCAAACTGAGGTCTAGAAATGCCTGGTGTTCAGGATCAACCTTGAAGGAAGGTAACTCCTAACAAGTTCAAGGTAGAATTGGGCTAGTTATGCAGGAGTTACAAACTTTTTTCTTTTCCATTTATTTAAAACAGGATTTCTCTGGGTAGCCCTGGCTGTCTTGAAACTCCCTCAAACTCAAGGGATTCACCTGCCTCTGCCTCCCAAGTGCAAGAATTATGGCATGTACTACCACCACCCAGCTACAAAAGTGCTTATACATATTCACTTCCCAGTGGCAAACTGTCAAACTGTTGCCAACAGAGATTTTTTGATTTGGCTAACCATGTTCTTGATGGCATGCAGGGGTAAAGGAATTCATATATTATACCGAAGAGGAACTTATCAGAAGGGTGGTGGATAGCTCATAGCACTACAAGTGGGTGAACAAAACAAGCTCAGGAAAGTGGCCAAGAAGCCAGGGGACTGAGCCAATCAGTAATCCAGCAAGGCCTGTTTGCTCGGCATGTCACGTGAGAAGCCAGTGGACATGGCATGGCTGCAAAACTGCACTGAGGTCAGTGGGTGTCATGGACACTACGGAATTGAATCCTGTTCTAAAATCTCTGGCTTCTGGGCCTCAGGCTCTAGAATCTTTTTCTTTTCTTTTTTTTTTTTTTTTTTTTTTTTTTTTTTTTTGGTTTTTCGAGACAGGGTTCCTCTGTGGCTTTGGAGGCTGTCCTGGAACTAGCTCTTGTAGACCAGGCTGGCCTCGAACTCACAGAGATCCGCCTGCCTCTGCCTCCCGAGTTCTGTGATTAAAGGCGTGCGTCATTTGCCACATGGCACGCTAGAGGCACATACAGATGTAGTGATAGGACAGTGGGAGTCTTGCCTTGCCGAGTAAAGTAGTGGGGAACTTAGTGAAAGGAGAGTCCACGTGTGCCTGGAGCCGGTGGTGTTCGGCCGAGGAGGAGCAGCCGCTCTCATGGCGCCTGGATCCGGGTACCTCACTCCTAGTACCAGATGTAGCTTTAAGGATAAACGGCACACTTGTTGAGGGTATAGGTAACTGTTTGTTGTAAAAATTACTTACAAGAGAAAACGGGCAACTCAGATGAGTCAAGTACCGAACAAGAAGCCGAAAAGAGAGTGAATGTAGCTCTGGTGCAGTCTTTTATAAGAACCTCTGTACACCTCTAGCCACGCCCAAAAGTGGGCCTGGCTAGCGGTGTAGTTGACTGCCCTGTCTCTAGTCATGCCCAAAGTGGGTGTGGTTAGCAGCGAGGTTCTGCCCTTTCCTTACCACATCCATACGCGCCTCTAGAGCACCACATGGCTAATGGCACAGTCCTAAGTCTCCTCCTACATATAGCTCTTCTGTTTGTACATGTATGGCATCTTACTATGCATTTATTTAGTTCATCTTTTGTCTGCAGAGTGTGTGTGTGTGTGTGTGTGTGTGTGTGTGTGTAATGATCCACTACTCAGTAGCCTCTGCTGGTTAAAACTTGGAGAATCTGACACCAAGGAGTTTATTTTAGGCACATTTAAGCACAACACAATTTGGTGAAAATTTTCTTGGTGATACTTAACTCAATCCTGTGTAAACAATTAACTCAAAACTGTGTGCATAACAAAGCTTAATACACAACTACACTGAAACTCTTTGTAAAGTACATGTGACATTTTCCATAAACATAGTTTCCACAATAGTAAAGGCCTTTAATCCCAGCACTTGGGAGGCAGAGGCAGGCAGATCTCTGGGAGTTCAAGGCCAGCCTGGTCTATAGAGGTTACCAACAGCCAGAGCTGTTACACAAACAAACCCTGTCTTGAAAAACAAAAACCAATGAACCAAACAAAAAACTTGTTTCTATAGATTGAGAAAAAACCACTAATGATAAGGGTCAGGGAAGGGGTATCTAGTGTGGTCTCCCACACCAGAGATAGCACAACAAAGGTCACCAGGCTGTTAACCACGTCCACGAGCAGCCTTCTAGGAGGAAATAGGTTGTATCACTCTCGCTGAAGAGACAACCCCATGTGTTTAATGTTGTTGGTTCCTTAGTGAGCACAAGTATCTCTGTGCCCCTCACACAGTTATTTCTTAAACTCTTGTAGAACATTGTTTATTTTGCATTATAATAAACAATATATAGTCAAGAGCCTCCTCAAAAGCCTCCTTGTAAGTGTTTCGGGCAGAGTGGGATGGGTCAGGTATTTTGGTACTCGGGAGTCACAGAATACTGAGTGTTACACAGCTCAGATGGAAAGCTATCCTGGAGCTTGGGAGCCAGGGACCACCACAGGTTGTAGTAAACTTAGCAGCTTACAGCCTTGCCTCAGAGAAAGGCTTCCCCAGGTGTATCAGCTCCGCTCCGGCCGGACATGGTCTTCCAGCTGGGGATGTTTGCCCGATGTAGTAGTTTTGCTCCGCAGGAGGTTTATTTGGGCGAAGTTACTACAGTTCAGCTCTGCTCCTGGAGAGTGGAGAGCAGAGAGGGAGGAGGCCACTGCAAAAAATCTTCACCCAAAGCTCATTGAAGGGGTTTATTGGAAGGAAGCAGCTGGACCAGCCAACTGAACATACACAGGGTTTATATAGGGATTCTTGGGGGCGGGGAAGTTTTTCCAGGGTAGGGATTGGTCTGATTTCAGTGCTGAGCTCAGACTGGCTAGAGCTTTGCTTGAGGATTGGTTAGTTTTCTGCACAGGGTTAGGGTCAGATTTGGCTCTGGTTTCAGGGTCAAAGTGTGTTTCTTTCTCTGGTCCTTTTCAGCCTTTTGGCTCCAATTTTAGGGCCAGGGTGCATTACTTTCACTAACTCTGATTCCAGGGACAAAGTGTGTTCCTTGGCACTGGTTTCAGGGTCAGGGTACATTTCTTTGGTTCTGGTTGCAGGGCCAAAGTGTGTTTCTTTGGCTCTGCTCAGGGTGTGTTTCTTTGACTGGCCCCTTTTCCCTACACTCCTGGTACAGATGGATGTCCACTAGGATACTGGTGAGATTGATGCTGAGTCAAAATGACACGTAAACTGTTGCTAGACTGACCTGCAGAAACACATTTAGAGTCAGGGAAACCCGAGAGAGGCCAGAGAAGTGTCTTTTTTGGGGGAGGAGGGGTGTCTGTTAAAGATCTGACTGGATCTTCTTAGGAAGAGTACGCAGTCCGGGCTTGTAGAAGGGCCCTGATCATCCTTACAGATAAATCGCACGGCTCCCAGCGCTGGCTGCGCAACCAGGTGGGGCGCTCTCTCCAGTACCCCGCGTTTGCATCCTAGGTGCGTCCCGGGTTTGAACGGCTGTGCCACCATGTGCTCGTCCGCGTCCTTCCCTGCTGGGCCAAAGCGTCCTCGTCACAGTCCTCCCAATATAAACACATTAAACAAGTGGAAAACACAGGCTGCGTGAGCCGAACCTCCCGCCGGGTCTGGGGCGTTCGGACCGGACAACTCGCCACTCCCCCGGACATGGACCAAGGGCCGGGTCCCTGGAGGAGCACCGGAAGCAGTGACACCTCGGCCCAGGAACGTTTGGAACTCGTAGGGACGTGGGAATCTTGCTGGTTCCGCGTTTGCCCGCCATGGTGGCCATCGGCCAAGGGGCCCAAGTCGTGTGTAGCGAAGCTTAGGACAGGTTGCCTAACGTCATGTCGCTTGAGAAAGCTGCTGGGCGCATAAAGCCGCCAGCAGGTCCCATGGTGTAATGGTTAGCACTCTGGACTTTGAATCCAGCGATCCGAGTTCAAATCTCGGTGGGACCTCACTGACTTTTCTTTTTGGTCTTAGAATCTTTGTTTTGAGGCCTGCAGGAAGTAGCAATCTACTCCAGGCTGGACGGGGGAACGCACTGACCTGCAGGACGGCCGTTCAGCTTCCCTCCCCGGGTTCAACGCGCTTACATTTCAGGAACAGTCGGGGCGGCGTGGCACTGCGCACGCGCGCTGAGTCAGGCGGAAAAATAAATGTGTTGACGGAAGACTGAACATAACTTTACCCTGAAGGGGAAAAACGAAAGAACCCGAAGGCTCCCGAGGTGGCTCTCCAGGCGGGGTACGGCCCCTCTCCGCGCGCGTGGAAGGCCACGCCCCCTATTCTCTGATTGGCTAGTGTGCGGAACGCGCGGCGGGATTGCTTTGTGAGGGGCGAATGAAGTGGCCGGACAGGGCCAGGGGGCGGGCAAGTGACGCCAGGGGACCTCTGATTGGTCACAAGCGAGTGGTACCCGGAGGCTTGTGTTTTCGGGGTTGGAGACCCGTGTTTGGGGCTTGATTAAGCGTTGCTCACCCAGCGAGGGTTGTTTTTCAACAGCCCCTTAGTCAGCGGACAGCGGGTCGGGGCCGTTTTGCACCGCCCGTGGGGTGTCTCTCCAAGCAGAGGACAGGAATCGCTAAGGGTTCCTCGTGCAGCAGCGTGTGCGTGGGACCTGCGGGAAAAGGCGTTCCTCTAGGACAGAGTGGAAGATATGTGCAGGGAATATCATCTTCGGATTCATATCTGGGTTTTGAAGTGTGTTTTTCCCTGCAGGGTAAGTGACGAGGGAGCCTGCTGACGCACTACGGTCTCCCTACAGAGTGATTGGCACCGACTATAGATTCCTACCCTTGGGAGGATGCCATGGAAACAAAAAGGAGCCTCGCTTCACTCTCGGGTTAATCCTCAGAGCACGCCTCTTCCCGGCCTGACCCAAGCACCCTTTAAAACGTCTGGATGGATCACTTTGAGCCATCCCGGCCTCAAAAAATATCTAGGCATGAGAGGAGAGAGGATTTACGCTACCAGAGGATAAACTGCTGGTCAACTGTACACTAAAGAAATTAAGATAATATCCGGATGGATGAACACACTGATGGACTACAATAGAGAACCAAGATATAGCCCCACCTTTATGGACAGTAGTCAATAACAAATGCGTCATAAAAAGAAAATGTAAATAATAATAAAAGTTGGCACAACAGAGTACGGGAAAGGACCTACTTTGCATTGGATCACGGTGTTTGTATGGTAAAATACGAAATCGGATTCCTTCCTAATGTACACCAAGCACAGCAGTAAATCCCACGTGAATTGTTGACCTAAAGCTTTGGGGGACAGCATGAGGGAATACCTGCCTCTCTTAGTTCCAACGAAGCCTTAATTAAAGACACAAGAGTGTTATGCTTCACAAGATGACTGTGCTATCCTCTATGTTCTTGTCAAAAGATGCCAATAAGAAAGAGAACATGTCTGGATGTTTTGCTCAGTGGTAAAGTGTGAAAGGCACTCGATGACCTGACAGAGAAAAAAGGTAAGCCACAGAGCAGGGATTTGCGTGTGTAATGCATAAACAACAAGTACGTCTAAATAAATATAATAAATTCAAAAACCTGCAAGAAAACTGCCTGCAGAAAAATGGCAAAACCATGGGCTAGGGAATAGCTCAGTCAGAAAAGTGCTTGTGTGTTACAGTGAGGGCCTGAATTCCATGCCCAGACCCATGTCAAAAAGCTGGGCACAGCGGCAATTGTTTATAGTTCCCATGCTGGGGAAGCAGAGACAGGAGGGTCTCTGGGGCTCACTGGCCAGACAATGGGGGGGGGGCAAATGAGAGCTGCCTGAGGAGCCACACCACATTCATACCCACATGCACACACAGTTTGTTTTGTTTGTTTGTTTGTTTGTTTTGGTTTGTTTGTTTGTTTGAGACAGGGTTTCTCTGTGGCTTTGGAGGCTGTCCTGGAACTAGCTCTTGTAGACCAGGCTGGTCTCGAACTCACAGAGATCCACCTGCCTCTGCCTCCGGAGTGCTGGGATTAAAGGCGTGCATCACCAACGCCCAGCTCACACACAGTTTTAAACAGCAAAATCAAGAGGAAAAGCGCCTAAGCCTTGAGTGGACACTTCGCTTTGGAAACCCAACACAATCATTCCGTATCAGAAGATATGGCAGATCGTTAAAGAGCTCAATGGGTTAACACATGACCACCTGATGACAATGCTGCTCTGCACAGTGAGCTCCAGAACAGCCAGAGATATGTAGGAAGACCTGGTCTCAAAATAATTTCAAAAAGATTTTGTCTAAAATAAAACCTATCCAGCAATGTGGTTTTGCTTTTAAAAGACATGAGGAGCCGGGCGTTGGTGGCGCACGCCTTTAATCCCAGCTCCCGGGAGGCAGAGGCAGGTGGATCTCTGTGAGTTCGAGGCCAGCCTGGTCTCCGTAGTGAGTTCCAGGACAGCCTCCAAAGCCACGGGGAAACCCTGTCTCGAAAAACCAAAAAAAAAAAAAAAAAAAAAAAAAAAAAGACATGAGGATGCATTTATAAGACCAGTTCACATCTAGGTGTCCTACAAAGATCTGGATAGACCTATCCTCCCTCCATTGACTAGATATATCTGGGTAACCAAGTTGACTGTTCTAAGCCTCTTTGGTAAAAGAATAACAGTGGTGCCTTTTGCCTGTCAGTATTTTGAGGATTCGTAAAGCAAACAGAAAAGCCCTAGCTAGGTGTATTGGCCTATAATCCCAGCACTTGGAAAGTAGGAACTACAGGATCAGAAATTCAAGGTCATCCTCAACTACACAGCAAGGTCGAGGATTGCCTGGACTACATGAGATTCTGTCAGAGAAAGAAAGACACCAGTGAGATGGCTCGTGAGTGAAGTCACTTACCACACAAGCCTGGTGACCTGAGTTCTACCTCGGAGTTTGCATAAAGAGGAAGGAGAGAGCTGACTCCCAGCGGTTATCCTCTGACCTGCACACACATTCACCTCTACGCAGGTGATCAGGAACACAGACACACCCTGTGAGAGAGGGGGAGGAGGGTGGAGAAGCGCTTCGTCTCTGTCTGGACTCATCTGCTACATTCAATAACGCTAACTTCTAAAGAGATAACCAGGGTAGTGAAGTTCTAGAAGCTCAAATACCAGAAAGAAGAACCACTAATGCAGGGTGTGGGGGGGACTTAGAGAGCTCAGACAGCTTTTTAATGTATTTGCATATGCGTTTCTAGTCTGGATTGCTGACACAGGAAGAGAGTGAGAATTTACGGGTGGAAGTTGGCGGGCAATTAGGAAGAACATTCTAACAATTGGTGCTGTCCATTTTTGGAATAGGCTCGAGTGATGGAGCTTCGGATTCCTGGAGAGTATCTGGGGAACTCAGAGACCTCTCTCTGTCTGCTGTGGTGTCAGAAGTTTTGCACTCAGGAGGAGATGGAACTATGTACAGTCAGGCCTTCTTGGCTTCCATCCGAAGTGACTGCTCTTTCAGCTCAGAGCTTTGCTGGCCAGGAGATTTCAAATCTGCTTTTCCAGGGGTCCCCCTCCCACTTTTTTGTTTGTTTATTCATTGGTACTAAGACTGTCAGATAAGATATTTTGCCTCACAAACTAGTACACACACATACACACCACTGAAATACAAGTTTAAGAAATATGATCCGAGTTAGGCGGTGGTGGCACACGCCTTTAATCCCAGTGCTTGGGAGGCAAAGGTGGACGGCTCTGTGAGTTTGAGGCCAACCTGGTCTACATAAGGAAACCCTGTGTTGAAAAACAAAAAAAGAAGAAAGAAGAAAGATAATCTGGGCTGGAAAGATGGCCCACTGGTTAAGAGCAGAGGATCTGTGTTCCATTCCCAGCGCCCACATCAACACCCTCTTCTGACCACCTATGTACACAAGCATGCACGAGGGGCACAGACATATATACCTGCAGGCACAATATTCATGCATGAAATAAAATGAGTACATCTAAAGCGGGGGAGATGGTCCAGGTGTGATGGCGCATGCCTTCAATTCCAGCCCTCTGTGGGAGGGGGGATCGTGGAGGCCGACTATATTGTAGTGAATTCAAGGCTAGCCTGGGGCCACCTGTCTCCGGAAAAAAGCCACAGAAAAGATACTTATCCTTAACATGTAAGAATACATTCTGATATTTTTCTAGGTGTTTTATTTAAGATTTATTCATTTGTTTTTTTTAAATGTGTGTTACCTGTATGAGTTCATGTGTACCATATATATGCAAATACCCTTTAGGGGCCAGAGGGCATCAGCTCCCTGGAATTATCTTCAGTTATGAGCCACCTGATAAGGGTGCTGGGAACGGAACTTAGATCATCTGCAACAGCAGTGCACACTCTTAACCACTGAGCCATCATCTCTCTGATCCCAATGTATGTTTTTTGTTTGTTTCGTTTTTCAAGACGGGGTTTCTCTGTAGCTTTGGAGCCTGTCCTAGAACTCGCTCTATAGACCAGGCTGGCCCCGAACTCACAGAGATCCTCCTGCCTCTGCCTCCTGAGTGCTAGGACTAAATGCCACCACTTCCTGGCAATGTATGTTATTTTTTTAAAGTTGGTTTCAACTAGTGTTCCCTGTCATCCTTCTGTTCCTTTTCTAGCTCTAGTTCTCTGACTCCGTCTTCCTCTCTCCTAGCCCCTGTAGCTTCCGGGGAAACCTCTCTTTTCTCACGAGAGTCTGAGAAGTCCCTTCTCATGGTTTTCTTCCCGAGAAGAGACAGATTGAATCTCTTTTCTGGAAGGTACTACTGAATGAGACCTTCTGGAGCATGGTGTCCCAGTTTGAGTCACCAGCAGAGGGCAGCACCCTGGTGCCAGTAAAGTTGCTTTTGGAGCCTACCTTCCCAAGGCTGTCCCTTGGTTTCCATTCACAGATAAAATAATGTATGTGCAACACTTACCACATTGCCCGGCACACAGTAAGCTGTGGACAGTGCTGTGGCCAGTACTGTCTAAGGTCAATGAGACAAAACAAGCCATGAGCCCTGCCCTCAAGGAGTCTGAAATCCTTAAAGGAAAAAACAAACAACCCCCCCAACACAATTTAATTGGAGCTGGAGAAACATTGGTTAAGAGAGCTTGCTGCTGTTGCAGAGAACCCATGTTCCATTCCCAGCTCCCACACGGAAACTAACAACCATCTGTAGCTCCAGTCCCAGAGGATCCAATACTTTCATTTGCTTCACAGACACCAGACACGAACACAGTGCATATGAGCAAAACATTTGCACACGTACGACGGAAACTAAAACACCATTGTATCACTGTTACGTGGGAGCGTGATGGGTGCACCTGACTGTGGACGAGCATATGTCAGGAAGGAGTGCTTGCAGAGGTCAGAGGGCAGCTGTCAGGAGGCAGTTCTCTCCTTCCACTGGGAGTTTTGGGGACTGACCTTGGGTAACCAGGCCTGTGCAGCCTGATGGAAATATTAGAATGAACCCCTAACCCTGGCCCCAGGAAGACTGAGGCAGGAGGACAGTGAGTTAGAGGCCTGTCTAGACTATATAACAGTTTGCAGGCCAGCCTGGGATAAGTACTGAAAACCTGTTTCAAAGCCGGAACAAGATAGGTGGTGGTGGTTCACACCTTTAATCCCAGCACTTCGGAGACAGCAGGCAGATTTCTGAGGTCCAAGGTAGTCTGCTCTACAGAGCAATTCCAGGACAACCAGGCCTACACAGAGAAACCTTAGAAAGAAACAAATCAAGAAAAACAAACAAGAAGGGCTTTAGGAGGAGGAATCCATATAGAAAGATTGCCCTAGAGACAGGGAAAGCCCTGGGCAGTAGAGTGCTCCCCAGGAAGCTGGAGCCTTGGGTGGCTAGCCTGAGGCAAAGAGTCTTAAGGAAGGGAATAAAGCCTTTCCAGATGAGCGCTTGAGAGCTTTACAGCCCTGGACAACTAGTGTAGTGAGGAATTAGCATGCCCCGGGGCTAGAATCCCCACACTTGAAGAGCTGAGGGAGAAGAAATTCAAGGCCATTCTCTGCTACTTAGGGAGTTAGAGACCTACCCCAGATACATTAGACCCTGTCTCTAAAAGAAAACAAGAGTTGGAAACTTGAAAAGGATTTAGCACAGTCCCTCCCTCCACCCCCACAGGGTCCCCTGTGGTGCAGCCGCCCGGTCTCTTGCTTCCCTGAGCCAACAGCTCTCCTTCATTGCCCTTCCTCCTCTAGCCAGCCCGAGTTGCTGGGATCATCTTTTTTTTTTTTAAGATTTATTCATTTTACAACATTCTATCTCCATGTATGCCTGCAGGGCAGAAGAAGGAACCATATCTCATTACAGATGGTTGTGAGCCACCATGTGGTTGCTGGGAATTGAACTCAGGACCTCTGGAAGAGTAGTCATTGTTGTTAACCTCTGAGCCATCTCTCCAGCCCCGCTTGGGTTATCTTTAACCAAAAAACTGGAAAAAAAGAAAGGCAATAAACTTAAGATGAATCCTGGAGCAGAGAAATGACCTTAGTGAAAAACCTGGAAAAATCCTAACAAGGTCTTGAGTTTAGGTAATACCAATGCTTTCTTATGTTTTTTAATTGTTTATTTGTGTATGTGGACTCAGTATTTTAGGGCTTCTCTGTGGATGCAGAGCAAAAAAAGTGTTGATTCTTTTCTTCCACCTCCTGGGGATCCAACTGAGGTCGTCAAGCTCAGCAGCAGGTATCTTTACTCACTGAAGTATTTCTCTAGCTCCCTGTTGTTTTTGTTTGTTTAAGACAGTGTCTCACTGTGTAACCCCGACTTGCCTAAGACTCACTATGTAAAACATGCTGACCTCAAACTTGTGGATAATTCTCCTGCCTCTTTCTCACTCGTGCTGGGACTACAGGCTTGCATCACCATGCCCATTTCTTAATTTCTTCATCTTAATAAATGTCAAGGTCATATAAGAGGTTACCATTAGGCAACTTGAGCAAGGGTAAAGGGGGAATTCTGCTATTTGCAATTCTGCAATTTTTATGAAAATCTAAAGATATTTCAAAATAAAACCACTGAGTTGGGGTGGGAACTAGAAGGAGTGGAGAGAGGGGAACTGTGGTTGGGACGTACAGGGTGGTGACATGTGTCTTTAATCCCAGCACTCAGGAAACATAGGCAGGCAGATCTCTGTGAATTGAGGTCAGCCTAGGTTACAGAGTGAGTTCCAGGACAGCCAGGGCTACACAGAGAAACCTGTCTCAAAAAAAAAAAAAAAAAAAAGACATAACAAAACAAAAACACCGAAGGAAAAAATGTTAAAAGTCAAGGAGCTTCAGGGTGTGTTGATCAGAATCTGCAAGCAGTGACTTCTGCAGGGTAGTAGACGGAGGCGGAGAATCAGGACCCCTGGAGCTGGAGTACAGGTGTTTGTTTATCAGTGGCCTGATATAGGTACTGAGATCTGAACTTGGGTTCTCAACAAGAACAGTATGTGTTCTTTTTGTTGTTTGTTTTTTGAGACAGGGTTTCTACCCTTGAACTCACTTTGTAGACCAGGCTGGCCTCTAACTCACAGAGTACTGGCCTCTGAGTGCTGGGATTAAAGGTGTGCACTATCACACCCGGCAGTACTTACTCTTAGACCCTCCTGTCCAGTCCCTGATGTTTGGTTTTGACTCTTAGACACTTTTTTTTTTTTTTTTTTTTGGTTTTTCAAGACAGGGTTTCTCTGTGGCTTTGGAGGCCACCCGGTTTACTAACACCTTCTAAATGGTGGCCCAGATGTAAAGATGTCTAAGGAAAAAGCGGTGAGACCTGCCTTGGCTTCTTCCTTCTGAGGAGTGTCCACTGCCGCTGCCATGGTGACGGCCATCCTCTGCTGACATTGGACTCCAGCGTCTTCAGCCTTCCAACGTGGAACAAATGAATACTAGTAGTGGCTCTCCAGAGAGCTTCTAAGTCTTCCAACAATGAGGCATCCGTCTTTGTGGATGGAG